AGGAGAGGATGCCATATGGGTGGTAGTTGACCGCCTGACCAAGTTAGCACACTTCATACCCTACAAGATGTCGTATACCGTAGAAAAGTTGACCAGCTTATACATTAAAGAGATCGTGAAGCTCCACAGGATTCCCATATCCATTGTATCAGACTGAGACCCATTTTTCACCTCAAGATTTTGGAAGAGTCTACATTAACTAGATTGAAGTTCAACACTTTAGCACATCCTTAGACTGATGGAAAATCTGAGAGAATGATACAAACACTTGAGGATATGCTGAGAGCTTGCACCTTAGATTTCAGAGGCAATTGGGCTACTCACTTGCCACTAGTAGAGTTCACCTTCAACAATAGCCTTCATTCTAGCATTGGCATGGCACCTTATGAAGTCCTATATGTGAGGCGATGTAGATTGCATATCTATTAGGAAGAGACCGGTGATCGTCGACTACTCGGACTTGACGTAATCCAAGAGACGATGGAGAAGATCCAAACCATTCGACAACATATGTAGACGGTACAAAGTAGACAGAAGAGCTATACAGATCGACGATGCAAGGACCTAGAATTCTAGGTTGGGGATCATGCATCTTTAAAGGCTACGAATATCAAGAGGTGGTAAGAAATGCAAACTCCGTCCGAGATACCTTGGGCCATTCAAAATTTTGGAGAAGATGAGACTTGTGGCCTACCAGCTAGCCTTGCCCCCAGAATTGGAGAAGATTCATAATGTATTCCACATTTCCAACCTAAAGAAGTGCGTACCGAACCCAGAACACATCATTTCGCACTAAGTCTTGCCCCTGCGGGAGGATCCATCTTACGAAGAACGACCGGTTCGAGTGCTAGGCTTTAAGGAGAAGCAGTTGAGAAACAAGTCCATATTGCTAGTTAAAGTGTTATGGAACAATCGAGGCATTGAGGAGGCAGCATGGGAACCAAAATGTGAGATCCGAAAAGTATATCCGTATTTATTTTGAGGGTATGTAAAATTTCGGGAACGAAATTTCCTTAAGGGGGGAAGTATGTAACATTGCAAATGTTTCCTTCCGATGATCTGATACCATTATCGATACTGATCCATAAATCAGTAAATTCTTTCCTTCCTTGTATCCCATCTAAAATTCTACTATGAGGATTTTAACTTAGCTAATTCTCATATTATGATCTAGTTAATTAAGTCATAGCATACATACAAACTTAGCATATAAAGCCAAACCAACCATGATTAGAGATAACCCAATTGTTAAATACCTATTTTAAAACTCTCTAATTAACATAATTGTTTAATTTAATATTCCATGTTAGTGGGTGAATTTTGCATAAAAACCCTTTACTTTGGCCAAATTTGAAGATTCCTCTTCACATAGGCTTTATATACTAGTACACTCTACCTCTCATTTTGTCACTTTCAAAAAAAAATTCCAAACCTCATTCCCTCCCCTCTCCTCTGGCTGACCAAACCCCAGCCACCTCTCCTCTTGTTTTAGAAAAAAAAATAGATTTCATAGCTTCATCTCTCAAGCTCTAGAGATTGAACAAGAAGGAGAGGAGAAAGAAGGTAGTTTGAGGATTTTGGAGGAGGAAGTGGAGCAAAGTCTCAAACCCAGGTATAATTTCTTATAATCCTCTTCTTCATATTGTTATTAGGGATATAAGACTAAAATTATAGGATTTGATTTAGTTTTTGATCTTGCATGTGAGGATGTACCATTGCATGTTACATTAAAGCAAGGATTGCCCCTTGCATGTCAATGAATAGTTATAAAAATATGATCTTTATACCTATGAGCATAGAAAATATGACATTTACTGGTTTTCAGGTATAATGCAATCAAGTAATGATTATCTTGCTTTGAATTAGTGTAAACATGGGTTGCATGTCCGTTTATGTAATATAATTATTCATACAGAAATTCCAGCATGATACGCTCCTAGTAAAAAAACATAAATTTCTCTATACATATCCAAATATAAATATTTTTCCTTTTTTAGAAACTACACTTCTGTAGCTTTCTTTTGAGATGTCTTTTGTTTAATTCTAACATCAATTACTTGTTCGAATCTATAGTTAAATGTAACGCATGTGTCTGAAATAGTTTGCCAAAGTCATGTTCATTGTAGAGAACATAACTCTCAATATGTGCATTGCATAGATATAATTCTTTCTGTTCCCAGAACTATACTTAATCATCTTTCTATTGGCTTAGGTTTTAATTAATTTGGATAACATTTGATAAGTCTAAGTCTAGTTTTAATAGATAGCATATGCACTGGCAAATCCAGTCTGCCCCCCCCCCCCCCCCAGTGTTATTTTGCATGTAACGTGCATTATAAAAATGATAATTTGATAAAACTCATAGGAATTAGAAACTAATTTATCATATTACTCGTATGTCAAATATGAGCTAATTTATATAACGTTAAGTACCTGAAATGAATTAATCATTCCGGATAGCAATTTCTATTTATGCTATTGTAGTCTTGATATGTATAGTTTTCTAAGAGCATAACT